ACCTTCATGTCTGACCTTGGGTCAACGTAATTTGCTCACCCAATATTTGTGTCGCCTGAGAAAGCATCTCAGAGATCATGGCTTCATCTAACACTCTGTTGTTGGATCACATTGAACGATTCCCTAGAAATTGACTTCGCTGAAACCAAAGCCTCTTTTTGACCTACCATAGGTCATTGACCTTACAAGGCGCATTAAAATTTTGATGCCAAACGACCCGCTATTCGATTGTCTACAGCTACGCAAAATTTGGCGTGGCTGCGCCGCGCCGTTCGAAAAACACTGGAAAAACCTTCGGGGGGTCAAGTTGACCCCCACCCGAGCGCGTGTTAGTAGGGAACTGCAGCATGACGAGACGTAAATGCGTCAGTATGCCAAATTAGTGAAGTCTTGAACGTCGTTGAACTGCTTAAGAGTCATGTTTGAACAAATGGCGACATGCCATAATGACGAAAAGCCAAATGACGACGTGAAAAACAAGCACATGTGGTAATAGCAAAAACACGGGGTTCTGCAGGGCTGATTGGAATGGGCAATTCCTATTCGATCTTTTATGACAGTTGCGTGAAGTGGCCACAACTCTGGTTACCAACCAAAAGCTCCGGCTACCAAAAGAAAAGTCGATTCCGGCCCCCTTCCTTCTACGGAAGGGGGCCGGAACAGAGGACAGGGATAGTCTTTTTTGTCACAGCTTGACTTTGTAGACCAGCAGACACACATCATAATTTCTCAATAAAATAATTGTTCGATTTCGGTATCTACGTTGCCCGGACCAAAAGTCGACTTGCAGTGTGCAGTTTGCGGATTTTTTTTCTTTGTCCACACGGCGACTTCCTTATGGCGACATGTAGAAAGTTAACGATACAAAAAGTCGAATCGTTTAAATGGTGAACTGCGAAAAGGCGGCATGGAAGACTGGCGACGCGCAAAGTTACGTAAGACTCAATGACAACCGCAAAAATGGTGACATGCCTCAAAATGAACAGGCTAAAATGGCGAACTGCAAAGCAGTAACGCGTCAAAAAGACAAGATGCCACCTTGGCGAACGGCTAAATGGTCAGCTGTTAAAACAGAATGTTACACATTTGAAGACGTTGAGACAAGCCCAGATATGATGGAAAACATTTTTCGCATCACCGTTCACCAGCGCCAATACCAAATTCAAATACGACACTTCTGTATTTCGCTATTTAGTCGTTCGTCACTATGACATCATGTTCGCAGCTCACCATTTAGCCGTTCGCCAATGTGGCATATCGACTGTCTGATTCGTCACCATTTTGCGGGCGGCTATTAAACTTTTTGCCATTTTGCCATGTTGACTCTTAAACTTTGCTTATTTGGAGTTTGCCATTTAGCCGTTTCGAACTTCCGCTGCGTCGACATCTCAACATGTCGCCATTCTGCAGTCAACATTCAGCAGTCGACAAAAAGGCATTCGCCAAGTGAGATTTTCGGCTTTTTTTGTCCCAGAACCCGACGTCCAGACCATGGGGCCCAATGCCGGAGGAGAGGTGGTGCCACCCCGCATGCGTAGATGCTGAGGGCGCAACTTCACAGCTGACCAACCGAAGGCGACGCATGTTGATATTGGTGGTGTGGTCTGGCTCGCTTTGAACTGCTGGCTCACACCGAGCGGCATTGGCGTGTTAAGTTTTGCTAACTGCTCCGCTTCGCTGCATTTCCTAACGCTGCAATTTGCCATGCCTTCAGTCCGAATCAATCCCAAACATAAACATCATGCCAAAACTAAAATCTGCACCATTACTGGGCATTGTCCGTGGTAAGGTAAACCATCCTTTTCTGAAACGATTTGTTAGCGGGTCAAGGCGTGGTAAAACAATTAACGTGACTGTAAAGAGCCGCCACAGGTAAGCCCGCGGTGTGCTGTGACGGGCGCATGGGTTCGGCTGTGGTGCACCGCTCTGGTTGCGTTGGTCGGTTCAGCCGCTGTCGCCGCGCCGTGGGGGCGAGAGCGGCTGACCGCTGCGGCCGCCGGCGCGTGGCCTCGACTGTAGTGAGCGTCCCTGTTGACAGATCACCGAGTACAAGGTGGGCGCCAACTCCACCGTGTCGCGGATGGAGATCACGCCGGCCAAGCAGAAGGACGCTGGCTACTACGAGTGCCAGGCCGACAACAAGTACGCCTTCGACCGCAGGGGCTTCCGCACCGACTTCATCATCCAGATGGAGTGAAGGGCGGCCGTGTGGCCGGCCCGGTCGGGGGTCGTCGACGGGGTCGGGCGCGCCGGCCGGGTGCCGGTGACCTGAGCGTTGCGGACATGGGCGTGGTATCGCCTCTCTTGCGGCTCGAGACTCAGGGATGTGATCGAGGCATTGGGGCACCGTCCCTCACCTCCACTGGCGCGGCAGCACGCCGTAGTGTGGCGCTCCATCCCTGGGCGGAGAAACTGCTCGAGTCAGGGTGTAAGGGCGTTGCAAAGCGCGGATGTGGGATTTCTCCTATATATAGCTATGTGGAGGGATTCGAGTTCCCCATCCTGATGAACTGTTGAACATAGCGTCTTTGACGTTGCATTGGATGGTTCTGCTCAAAATCCCAATATGCCTCCCCAAACATGTTGAGGAAGGTCATACTTACTGGAAAATGTTATATTGTCGACGAGTCAACGAAGATGGGTAGCTCAATATGTTGCCAGATATGTGTCACATATTGTTCGTTTTGGGTAGTCATGTAGAGACGGTCATCTAAGAATAAATAGACTTCATGTTTTTTGCTTAGTTTCGGTGCTCGAAAAGGGCGAGAGGTAGGTGAAGCGAATGCTTTGATCGGTTTTGCATTCAGCATCCACATCAAGCTGCTACACATGACATTCGATCATTCATCTCCCGCAAGCCTTCATGTCGCTCATTTTACCAGGAGCGCTTGAACTGGCCCGGAATCATGGGTGGCGGGGGAGGGGGGGAGGCTGAGAAACATTATTCGCTGTTTTCAATGCGCCACCATAACCCTGGTGACAAATTTCCCCCAAATGTCGTGGAGGTCAAGCTCCCAAAGCTCCCGGAACGCGGTGGTTCCGCGTCTGTATGGTTTTCCCTGGCATCACTCCTATGCAGTCCAGGGCGGTGTTTTTAGGGCTGTCTTCTTTCTCAACCTCCATCTTGTTGATGCTCGGATCCATTCAACCTAACGCGTCACAGAAGGTCTCAAATGCATCTTTGGTGCATCAGAATGCTTAATAATAATGCTTGGAATATCAACGAGGTTTTGAGGAAAAAGTAATGTCGGGGAAATTGCAGTGAAACTAACCGTCACGAAAAATGTTCACAACAAAACACACCGGCTGCAGTATACTGCACGTAATAAAAGCAGCGAGCCAAGTCACAGTGTGGTATTCAACCGGGCATCCGGCCAAATATGTAATATTCAGACGACCATCCGGCCAAATATGTAATATTCAGACGACCATCCGGCGAAATATGTAATATTCAGCCGACCATCCGGCCAGATGTGTGATAAGGGACTGACCATCCAGATGCGTATTAAACCAACATTTTCCGTCTTTGTTTTCACGCGCTTAATTTTGTTTTTGATTTTCAAGCAGAAAGAACATCAGAATTGGCCCCGCATCGCCCTCGTGTTTCCGCAGCGTTACAACCATTTTGCGAGGACCTTTGAGTCTATAAACCCATTAGCAATGAGGTTTCAGTGATCTATCGCGCGTCGTGAAGGTTGGATTGCCATTCGTCCGGTATTCTTGCGCTCTGATGGCAGGATCGCTTCCAAGGGTAATCAAAAATGGCCGAGCTCATATTCCGTGAAGCTCGTACAACCATAGAATGATCGACTGGGCTTGTTATGGACATGGACAGTAGGAACTGTGCTAGCTATTCGTGTCGCCATTGTGAGAACGGTAGTTTCCTTTCCGACGTAACGTTGGCTTCATGGTTAGGTCGGCCATGATATGGGGCCCGCATACCGGTCGCAACGAATCGCTCTTCTTTGACTTAACAAGGGGCAAAGATTTTGCATCGCCTGTTTCGATAGCAGCAAAATTCAGTTGTATCACATCTTTACGTGCTCTCTCACTTTTGCATGTGCAAGTCCAAGAAAGGGGTCCAAATCGATGCATTCTAGTGGACGGTATCTCCTTGAATGTCCCGCGTCACCCTCCCGTCTTGAACGGAGTGTAGCTCAGACTCACAGCGGGGCGATGACCACACGTGATAAAAAAATGAACTACACAGCCGTCGAATCAGTAATGTAGCCATAACATTTAGAACAAATAACACCGGAGCAAGTTTGTGACCACATAAATTCCAGAAGCTCCCCATAAAATGGAGGACAAAGGTCCAGAAGCGACGCAAGTTCAACGAAACCATAGCCGAGCCGCACACAAGTCGGTGCTCACAAAACCATGCATAGGAAAGCTAAACCGGCGCAGCTCAGCATTGGCCTCATGATACGCCGCTGGTAAATCCCAGACACCTTAAGGCACGTGCGTTGGAGCGTGACACCAAAACACACTTTAAACCGCGTAGAACAGGAAAACAATTGCCCAAGCCCAAGAACGTCAGCCTTAACACAGACAAACCGGGTCCATATGTCAGATGACATGTGGTGGTTACAGCAGTATTTGATATCCTGACACGGCAGAGACCAACAAGATGAAAGAAGAAGAAATAAACCTCTGATGGTACTCACCAGTCCGCCGAGCTTTTGATTGATTACCCTGCAAACAGCCTGGAGCCACGGCAAAACACTGCGTCACACAAACCGGTTACAAGATGACGTGATAGTAACCAAAACACGACGGTTTAGCACGGAAATCAAACAAAGGCAAATCTAACGAGCATTTGTATTCAAAGTATAAACGGTCCAATACTCAATTGCAACTCTTGGCAACACCGTTGCATTAAGTAGATCAGGCTCAAGTATACATACATGTATATATATATATATATATATATATATATATATATATATATATAAGATCATGCTCACATCACTAGCCTCTTATATCACAATAGCGGCAACGGGAGTTCAAAGTTCACCTACATCTATGTTCGCTTCACATTTTCGTCAATAGGTAGTTGCGAAAATTCACACGACTACCGTACTCCATCGCGAAGTCGTCACCGGAATATTCAAACACCCTAAACGAATGGCCTTTTTTATGAGCCTTTGCCAAAAATATATACATCAACAGGCAGGCCATTAAACTGCAAATTCACCCGCGCCGGGCTGTGGAGGGGAATTTGCATACAACACATATATATGGCTTTACAACACGTGACGTTGTTTAAGATCATAACCTAACTATATGGATACCTTCTGCAACACGCATGCTGAGCTCGAAATAGGCAGTTTCGTAAGGTAATTTTGGACGCAGAATCCAAACCTGCGCTGAAAACATGCTGTGATATTACAATGGATGATGAGATAGCAATAGGTCGCGCGAAACGACGCGTGAAACGATGCAGACTTAAACTCATACTTGCTGAACGCAGCTGGCTTTTACAAGAATTCACGAGTTATAACTTATGTTTTGGACATAAAACCACACACATTCTTCACTTTTAAGAAAATATCATGGTTGTTTTGTTTGATATTTTTCACATATTATCAGAGCCTTTTGAGAAGTGATTTCGTATGGGATTAATATTATAGAGATTCCAAAATCCAGACTATAATGCTAAGATTCTGGACTAATACAGTGATACAGATCGCGGGATTATCAGTCCCATTGGGGATGGTGGGGTCTGGACCGAGAAAATTTAGGGCAGGTTGAACTTAAGAATCTTTTTGTTCAAATCGTACGAAATGTACCCAATCTGAAATGGACTCCGGCCACCTTTGAGGTATGGTTGTGTCTATGTGTGTAGGGCTTTTGATGTCCAACGTGTTCTTTCGCGATTGCCAATGACGGAGTTTTTGTAGTTGACCTCGTTTGACACCAAACCACCTCCGGTAAAAGTCTCTGAAACGATCATGGTTCTAGTTTAACTGGAGCCTCATAAACATAACGAGACGAGGCAGATAGTGCTCCTACCCCCTCCAGGGTGCGAGACTGACAGACCTAGAGCGCGGGGTTAGAGCGAGCATGCCGCGTTTCTTGTACTTTTATCTCATTGTTAGGTCAGACGCGTACGGTTTGATCAGTGGCAATAGCTTTCTCAGAATCCTCCTGAATACCTCATAATTTTTATTTGAAGCACCCGCTCCTGAGGGAGGATTTTTATTTGCCTCCCTGCTCATCAATATAACCGCAATACCTATATTTGATTTATTTTGCATTTTCCAATGTAAGTGTTCCGTGACGTATGCAACACACTTATGTGAGCAAATGTTTGTGTAATTTATGCTGCGGAAGCTTGAAACACTCTGCTTTAAAAAGGTGTGCGGTTATTGAGCTGCTACCCCGAACATTAGGCGAAAGATAACACTATGACATTGGTTTCTCCACCATGGTTTCTTTATGGCATTTACCACAGGAGCTATTTTCGAGGCGTTTATTGGCTTGGGGAACGGGAGTATCACATGGTCCATAATGGTGCACCGGTTCAAATTTCAACCAATGCACTTCTCGTGAACAGGACCTTGCCGCCCTCTGGTCCAACCACATTCTTGTATTCACACCAGTAGAGGTGCCACGGTGGTTGTCATGACGACGGCGATCGCCACAAGTGCAGCGAAGAAGCGTAGTGCTGTCACAAGAAGTTGACAGCGTAATTTGGACTCGAAAGTTATCCAAAGTGATATCGGCTGGAGCTTCGGGGTTAGTTTCTACCCCCTGGCCTTGCTCGGTCAGTGATATCCATAAAACCAGACTCAGGCACACACAAGGAAAATAATCTGAAAAGTGACGTGCATTCTAGCATACTTACCCCTCTGAGGTAACGAAAGAAGAAAAGATAACGATGCGATGGTAGAAAGAGGAGTGAGCTTGTGTGGTTGAAGGGGTCGGTTCGGCCGAGACGGAGAGGGCCGTGCAGGGCACCGACGGACCGAGGGCGGCCCGTGGTGGGCGGATGCACTAATCAGCGAGCGTCGGGCCACAAATCGGTGGCGGCCAATGGCAGGCCACCAGTGATGAAGGCAATGAGCGTGGCGGCGCTGCCGGACGCCGGAGGTGAGGCAGCGCCGGCGGCGGGAGGCGAGCCGCTGGCCGGAGCGACACGGACGGCGCCATGGGGTGGCCGCGCACCGCGCTGCTGCTGCTGATGCTACTGGCCCTGCTGCCGCTGCTGCCGCCCGCCTCCGCCAGCCTGCCAAAGTACTGGTACAAGCTGAAACGGCGCCTGCGTAACCACGTGTACAACAACCACCCAATCCGCGGAGAGTATCGAAACAACGAAACGAAACAGTATTACCAGAACGACAACGTGAGTACTCGGCTAGTGATGATGTCATGTTTGTGTCTTGCAAATCGGTGTTATGTTCTGAAATTCCGAAGCTTCCGATAAGCGAGGCACCTCAGGAGCCCTTCATTTTTTTCAGAACTGGTTCTGAGTCTGTAAACGCGTGAGGCTTACGT